CGCCTGTAATCCCAGCCACTTGGGAGGCTGAGGCAAGGGAATCACTTGAACCCTGGAGGCAGAGGTTGCAATGAACTGAGATCATGCCACTGCACTCAGCCTGGGCAACAGAGTGAGACTCCATCTCAAAAAAAAAAAATTCCAACTGCTTTATCATTTACTTTATTGTTGTTGTGTTTCCAATATATATTTTCCCCCACTTACTTTGGATTTAATTGCTCTGCTTCCTTTTATAGTATAAATTTAGATGTTTGAATTTTACATTTCAACTTTTCTAATGTATACACACAGTCAATGCTGAAATTTTCCTCCAAGCTGCCTCATTGTAGCTCACAAATTTTGATGAGGTATGTTTTCCTTTAAATTTAGTTCAAAAATTTGTTTAGCTTTCTCGTGAGATTTCTTTGACCCATGTGTTATTTGGAAATGTATTATTTAATCTCCATGTATTTTTCAATTCACCAGTTTTTAAAAACTGATTTATAATTTAATTCTGTTGTGATTTGAGTGCATATGTTGTATGATTCTGATTCTTTTAAATGGTTCCAGGTGTGTTTGATGGAGGAGAATGTGGTGCATCTTGATGAATGGTCCACGTGGGCTTGAGTTCAGTGTGTATTCTGCCTGTTGTTGGATAAAGTTGTCTGTAGGTGTCAATAATATCCAATTGATTGATGATATTTTTGAGTTTAGCTATGTCCTTACTGATTTTTTCTGCCTGGTGAATCTCTCTATTTCTGATACAGGAGTGTTGGAAGTCTCTTACTAAAATAGTGAATTCCTCTATTTCTTCTTGTGGTTTCATTTTTTTGTTTGTTTTTTGTTTTGTTTTGTTTTGAGACAAAGAGTCTTGCTCTGTTGCCCAGGCTAGAGTACAGTGGTACAATCTCAGCTCACTGCAACCACCACCTCCTGGGTTCAAGTGATTCTCCTGCCTCAGTCTCCCAAGTAGCTGGGACTTCAGGCATGTGTCAAACACCCAGCTAATTTTTGTATTTTTAGTAAAGACGGGGTTTCACTATGTTTGCCAGGCTGGTGTCGAACTCCTGACCTCATGATCTGCCTGTCTCGGCCTCCCAAAGTGCCTGACAAATTTTTGTATTTGTAGTAGAGACGGGGTTTCACCATCTTGGTCAGGTTGGTCTTGAACTTCTGACCTCATGATCCACCCACCTCAACCTCCCAAAGTCTGGGGTTATAAGCAAGAGCCACCACGCCCAGCCTGTATGTCTTTTTTAAATTGACAAATAAAATTTGGTGTATTTACTATATAAAATCTTCACATCATCTTCAAACATGATGTTTGAAGAATAATATATATCAAGAAGCATAAGAACATATGTGTTACCTAACGTAGATTTTTGTGTGTGTGTGGCATGAAAACTTCACGTCCACTCTTTCTTCATTTTTCATAATACAATTTTTGTTAATTATAGTGACCATGTTGTACCATACACCTGTTAATCTTTTTCCTCCTATTTAACTGAAATTTTGTACCCTTTCACAAACATCTACACAACCTCATCCCAAACAACTCTTAGGCCCTAGTACCCACCAATCTACTTTGTATTTATATAAGTAAGCTTTTTTACATTCCACTTACACAGGGGTTCATATGGTATTTGTTTTTCTCTTCCTGGCTTATTTTACTTAATATATTATCATGCAGATCCATTCATGCTGCCTCGAATGACAGTGTTTCTCCCTTTTTTAAGGATGGTAATATCCTGTTTTGCATATACACTACATTCTTTTATCCATTAATCTGTTGATGGGCACTTAGGTTGATCCCATATTTGGCTATTGTGAATAATTCTGGAAGGAACATGGGAATGCAGATATCTATCCAACACACTGGGTAGTAATGAAACCTTCCAAGGCAGATTTTATTACCTTTGGATATATACACAGTAATGAGACTGCTGGATCAAAGGGAAATTGTATTGTTAATTTTTGCAGGATTCTTCACACTTTTTTCCATAGTTCCTATATTGTACTAATTTACATTCCCCCAACAATATGCAAGGGTTCCCTTTTCTCCATATCATTATCAACACTTACTAACTTTTGTCTTTTAAAATAGCCATTCTAACAAGTGTGAGATGATATCTTATTGATTTTAATTTGCAATTGTCTATGTATGTCTTTATATTTAGACAGATTTCCAATATACAAGATATAATTAGGTCTTGTTTTTAGATCTACTCTGACAGTATGTCTTTAACTGGTGTATTTCAACCATTGCTACTCAAAGCGATTATTGACATGGTTGGATTGATACCTGTTACATTTCTTACTATTTTCTATCTGTCATTTTTGTTCTTTTATTCTATTTTTTTCTCCCACTCATTTTCAGCTTTCTATAGTTTTAACTGAGAATTTTATATGATTCTATTTTTTTCTTTTTTCTTAGCATATTATATTTCTTTTTTCATTTTTAGTGGTTGTCCTTAGAATAAAAACTTTTATTTCTCATATTCTTTGTTAATCTAACAGATAAAGTTTATCAAAAACATTAACAGAAACAACAAATTTGATTATGTATTCTTGTATATATATTATGCATATATATATAAATGAATGCTCATATATAAGTAAAATGAATGGGCAATAACACAAGTGACTGAAGGTACAAAAAATGATTTCTGATTATAAGGAATTCATGGTAATTGTGACTCAGTATAGTGTTATTTGAAAGGAGGCTTGGATTGGTTGTAAATTGGTATTGCCAATTCCAATACTGCCTTGTAGATCAAGAACTTTTGTTCACTGTTGGCTACTGGCCAGAAGCAGCATTCGGTTGTTTGCTTTGTGGGTTTCTACCAAGGCAGAATGTTTCACCAACTCGATCAAGGGAGGGAGTTTGCAAACAGAAATGACAATCTTGTGTCACATAATAGCCTTATGACATTCCGTGTCCTTGTGAAGCAGGAAATTAGAGACTTGGAGAGACTGATGGAAAAGCAGAATGATTTTATTTAACGTGTACACAGGATCAGTGAAATTGCTTCCTAAGACTGAGCCTGGTCAGTGAAATTGCTTCCCTAGACTGAGCCTGGTACAGAAAAACTGAGGGTCTTTTAAGCATTTTTGTGATACAGGATGACAAAGCAGGAAGTAATTTCACAGAACCAAGAACAAAGAACACTTAATTAACCCGTAACATGCCTTGTGATGTACGTTGCATTTGAAAAATAGCATCTTGAGAAACACATTGTACATTCTTTGGGTGTTATCTTGCCCTGTGACCTTGTAGCTGGTCAACAAGAAAAACAGGACTCTTGGGATGCCTGGGAACTTCACTGAGAATATGGGGAGAATAGATAGGTAGGTTTTACAGGGAGTTAGTTAATTTCAAGCAGAGCTGGGGGTTAGGTTTTATATTGAACACAACACTGTAAATTGGCTTTATTGTACAGCAATTGCAAATTATTAATTTCCCTCATTACTAGCAGTACTCTGTTGTTTACAAGATAGTCAAGATTCCTGCTCACACACACAGGGAGAAAATTAGAATAAGAATTTGTGTATAGGGCCGGGCGCAGTGGCTCACGCCTGTAATCCCAGCACTTTGGGAGGCCGAGGTGGGTGGATCACGAGGTCAAGAGATCGAGACCATCCTGGTCAACATGGTGAAACCCCGTCTCTACTAAAAATACAAAAAATCAGCTGGGCATGGTGGCATGTGCCTGTAATCCCAGCTACTCAGGAGGCTGAGGCAGGAGAATTGCCTGAACCCAGGAGGCGGAGGCTGCAGTGAGCCGAGATCGCGCCATTGCACTCCAGCCTGGGTAACGAGAGCGAAACTCCGTCTCAAAAAAAAAAAAAGAATTTGTGTATAATTGGGCACCATCTTAGGGTCTGTCTGCCACGTCAGATCTTCTCCAGTCTGCAAGTTTCCCAGTCTTCACTTATTTTTCATGACCTGCCCTCTCGAAAAGCACCAACCAAGCTTTCTGTAGAATGTCCCACAATATGGCTGTGTATGATAATTTATCAAAATCAGATTAGTAAATACATTAATTCAGACACATTAACCTTGAAGATAAGAAAAACTTGACCTTGAAGATAAGAAAAACTGAACAATATATTACTTAGAAATACAACAGTAGAGAGAAAAGTAAAAAGAAATATAAGGAAATGGCAGATAATTCAAAATAATAGTAACTTTTAATGGGTAAGGGTAAAATTAGGGAGATTCACTCAGGGCATCAGTAATATTGATAATATCTTGTTACTTAATCTGGTCAGAAACTTTAAGAAAAAACACAAACTGAGGCCGGGCATGGTGGCTCATGCCTGTAATCCCAACACTTTGGCAGGCCAAGGCAAGTGGATCATCTGAGGTCAGGAGTTCAAGACCAGTCTGACCAACATGGTGAAACCTCATCTCTACCAAAAATACAAAAATTAGCCAGGTATGGAACCTGAGATGGGACCTACACCCTGAGATGGGAGGATCACTTGAGCCTAGAAGTTCAAGGTTACAATGAGCTATGATCCATGATCACATCACTGCACTCCAATCTGGGCTATAGAGTGAGACCTCTCTCTCTCTCTCTCTCTCTGTATATATATATATATCACACACACACATATATATATATATATATATATATATGAAAATAAGTTATTTGTATTCAAAGTATCAAATTTTGTTTCAGTTTTCTTTAAAAATTACAAGTAACATATATACGTATTCTGTTTTTCCTTCTTATATGTGACTATTTTAGTTTGGGGGCTCCAAATTTAGACCTGGTAAACATGCATTCTCACATTTTGTCCAATTTTGGTTCCTGGCCTTGCTGTGGTGTTAGGTGATCACAGAGCAGCTTCTTGAGAGCTTATGTCCATGTCTCTTACTAATGGTAGACACTTGATTAGAATGTGAACAGAATGTTTACCTGTTTTTTACTTATAGCACCTGGAATACTAGTACTAGAATGTAAGCCCTTTGGAGACAGAAAATTTTATTTGATTTCTCAATTCTGTGTTTTCAGTGCCTAGGATAATTCCTCTGACCTCAACGGTGAAAATACAGAGATGTTGAACTAATGCATGGATAAAACTATAAGGGTGAAGAGAAAAGTTCCCCTTTATCCTCTGAAGGTTCACTGAAAAATCAACTGGCAAAAGGAAGATTAATAGAAGAAAAGGTATGCAAAATTTTACTATAAATTGCATAGAACGAGGGAATCACAAGAGGATGACAACCCAATGAGGTACAAAACTTTATATACCTGTTTCCATGGAGGAAGGGGGAGACGTGGAATGCAGACTGTTATTTTAAGGGGCAATAGACCGTTAAGGAGAATGAACAGACCTGGGAGGCAGGAAGCAGACATTAGGGGAAGGTGAGGTGCAGAGCTACACAGGAACAGAGGTTACGGTTTAATGCAGGTTAAGTCCTCCAGAGAATCTCTTGGAGCTGACCTCAGAAGAAAAGATGGTAAGGGTGTCTGGGCTGGTGGGGACTCCCAGCCTCTTGATCTTTCCTGGTTATTTGATGAGATCCCTGGGGAGGACATTCAAGATCATTGCATTTCTTTTCCTTGGTCAGATAAGGAAATTGCAGAGAGAGGCTCTTTCTGGACTTGGGGGTGGGAGACAAGATAAGATTAGAGGCACCTTGATTCTGAGGCAACTTCTAAGGCTTCTCAGCATGACAAAGTGCCGGTCTTTGGCATATCTTAGTCCCAACAAAATAGACTGATTTGTGGATGAAGAACAGAGCTTCCAAGCTCAGACAGAAAATCAATCCTTATTGACTCAATTTTGGACTTCATCTTGATTACCACAGGCACAGTGTGAAAATAAGTCATTTGCCAGCCTGGGCAACATAGCAAGAGTCTGTCTCTATAAAAAATGTAAAAAATTAGCTGGGCATGGTAGTGAGCATCTGTTGTCCTAGCTACTCTGCACCCTGAGATTGGAGGATCCCTTGAGCCCAGAAATTCAAGGTTACAGGGAGCTGTGATCACGATCACATCACTGCACTACAATCTGGGCTACAGAGTGAGACCTCTCTCTCTCTCTCTCTCTCTCTGTCTCCCCATATATATATATACACACACACACATATATACATATATATGCATATATATACATACATATGTGTTATATGAAAATAAGTTATTTATATTCAAAGCATCAAATAAAATTTTGTTTTAGTTTTCTTTAAGAATTACAAGTAACATATATACATATACTGTTTTTCTTCTTATATGTGATTATTTTAGTTTAGGGCCTCCAAAATATCAATTACTAGATCTAGTAAACGTGCACTGTCACATTTTGTCCAATTTTGTCCAAACTTTTAATCAAATGGGTAAGAACTTAAATTATCTTAATTCCATAAAAGCAAATCACAGCTTATTTTAGATGTTTTACTTATGAGTTTACTATTTCCCAAGTTACTGTTGTTTCTGGCCTGCCCGTGGCAGTATTGCCATCTACTGGAACCTGCTTCCATAGGAGGAGCATCCCAATGTGTTTAGGAATACTAAAATTCAGATCACTCCCCATCAGAGTTGTCTATTCCGTTTCTCTCTCTTATCCCTGTAATGAATGCATACCTTCTTCCCATTTGTTTGCTAATTATTGGCTCATGTAAAATGAAGACTAAGAAATGGGAACAGAACCACTGACCAAGATGTACAATTTTGTAAATGTACTATGAGGAAGAAAGGTGCAGAGCCTAAGCTCGGAGTATGTTACTAATCCAGAGAAAATATATATAAAGAATAACCTGAGTGATCAGGAAGTCAAATTATATTTTCTTTTTTTTTTTTTTTGAAATAGAGACAGGGTCTTGCTTTGTTGCGCAGGCTGGACTCAAACTCCTGGGCTCAAGCAGTCGTCCCTCTGCGGCCTCCCAAAGGGGTCAGTTTCTGAAGTGAGATGATGAGTGAGTTGATTCCTAAAGCATTGCCTTAGTATGCTATGGCTACCGTAACGAAGTACCACAGACTGGGTGGTTTAAACAACAGCAGCTAGACTATAAGTTCAAGGGAAAGCTTAGCAGGGTTGTGTTGTGACCTCTCTACATGGCTGACAGATGGCCACCTTCTCCCTCTGCTCTCACTTGTTCCTTCCTCTGTGCTTGCATATCCCCAGTTCTCTCATGCAAACCTTCTGTCCTTTTTATTTTTTTTGAGATGGAGTTTTGCTCTAGACCCAGGCTGGAGTACAGTGGTGCAATCTTGTCTCACTGCAACCTCTGCCTCCCAGGTTCAAGCGATTCTTCTGCCTCAGCCTCCCAAGTAGCTGGGACCACAGGTGCGTGCCACCATGCCTGGCCAATTTCTTTGTATTTTTAGTAGAGACAGGCTTTCACTGTGTTTGCCAGGATGATCTGGATCTCCTGATCTCATGATCTGCCTGCCTTGGCCTCCCAAAGTGCTGGGATTACAGGCATGAGCCAAGATTGCGTCACTGCACTCCAGCCTGGATGACAGAGCAAGACTCAGCCTCAAAATAAATAAATTTTTAAAAAGTATACAAATGCATTTTTTTTCTTTCGAGATGGAGTCTCGCTCTGTTGCCCAGGCTGCTATGCAGTGGTACAATCTCTGCTTACTGCAACCTCTGCGTCCAGGGTTCAAGTGCTTCTCCTCCCTCAGCCTCCCAAGTAACTGGGACCACAGATACACACCAACAAGCCTGGCTAATTTTTGTATTTTTAGTAGAGATGGGGTTTCTCTATGTTGGCCAGGCTGGTCTCAAATTCCTGACCTCCGGTGATCCACTGCCTCAGCCTCCCACTGTGCTGGGATTATAGGCATGAGCCACCATCTCCGGCCACAAATTCATTTAATGTAAGTTTTATGTTACACAGCAGGCTACGAAAATGAAAACTCAAATATCTAGGGAGAACTGTGTATTTTTATGAACAGTCAGGCAGAACTATGATTGGAGGACAAAAGGGTATGATGTAACAGTAATAAACTTGGGGGAATTAGCAAGACCTGACTGTTCAGATTCTTCTTGGCCTCCACATTTGATAATCCTTCCCTTCAGGCATAGGGCAGTATACCTGTCACATCAGGATCTTCAGGAGAGTAGAGGTGGGAGCAGGTCATTGAAATCTATTTTTTTTTTTTTTTTTTTTTTTTGGGACGGAGTTTCGCTCTTGTTACCCAGGCTGGAGTGCAATGGCGCGATCTCGGCTCACCGCAACCTCCGCCTCCTGGGTTCAGGCAATTCTCCTGCCTCAGCTTCCTGAGTAGCTGGGATTACAGGCACGCACCACCATGCCCAGCTAATTTTTTGTATTTTTAGTAGAGACGGGGTTTCACCGTGTTGACCAGGATGGTCTCGATCTCTTGACCTCGTGATCCGCCCGCCTCGGCCTCCCAAAGTGCTGGGATTACAGGCTTGAGCCACCGCGCCCGGCGGTCATTGAAATCTTACTCCTTCTGCAGCTTTCCGTCTCCTCCAGCTTAAAGTATTCAGTGTGCCAGGGTGCCATATATTGGGGTTGTATTTCCTGCACCGCAGTAGCTTCAATGTATAAATCTTAACCACAGCAAGCATGAATAGAGATTTCAAGCTACAGAAGAAAGCAAAGGACTACTGAGGGGTAAAGATGTCCAAAGATAACTTTGGCAAGAAGAATGAAATCCTTGTATAGCTGTAAGTTGGAGTCTGGGCAAGCAGTAAGTCTGAACTACCTATGGGCAGGACTCTTAACCATTTTATATTTACACAGAACGAGTAAATAGAAAAATCTGTGGAAAAACGCTATTCATATATTGCAACTTGAGGGGCTACTGATTTAATGAAGGAAAGATTAAAAGGATTTTGTTACAATAACTCTTTTTTTTTTTTTTGAGATGGAGTCTCCCTCTGTTGCCCAGGCCAGAGTGCAGTGGTGCCATCTCAGCTCACTGCAACCTCTGTCTCCCTGGTTCAAGCAATTCTCCTGCGTCAGCCTTCCAAGTAGCTGAGATTATAGGCATACGCCACCACACCTGGTTAATTTTTGTATTTTTAGTAGAGACAAGGTTTCACCACGGTGGGCAGGCTGATCTTGAACTCCTGACCTCAGGTGATCTACGTGCCTCGGCCTCTCAAAGCGCTGAGATTACAGGTGTGAGCCACTGCGCCCAGCCAACTGTTTAATTTTTAAAATTGGGTTTCTTGAGGTGATATCCATCCTTTTCCAGTGCACAGTTTATAGAGTTTCAACAAATGCATACTGTCATGAAATCACCACCATAATCAAGGTTTCCCACAGTGGCCACAGCTTGGGAAATCTAACAAAGGCTTTAGGCTTTTTGGCCTCTGCTGCCATGGCCCTGTAGAAAGAATGGATAAGCCGGATGCAGTGGCTCATGCATGTAATCCCAGCACTTTGAGAGGCCAAGGTGGGCAGATCACCTGAGGTTGGGAGGTTGAGACCAGCCTGACCAACATGGAGAAATCCTGTCTCTACTAAAAAGATTAAATTAGCCAAGTGTGGTGGTGCATGTCTGTAATCCCAGCTACTCTGGAGGCTGAGGCAGCAGAATCACTTGAACCCAGGAGGCAGAGGTTGCGGTGAGCTGAGATCGCACCATTACACTCCAGCCTGGGCAACAGGAGTGAAATTCCCTCTCAAAAAAAAGAAGAAATTTTTTTTTTAAAAAAAGAATGGATTACAATTCTAGGTCCCACCTGCCCCTCCCTGGGTCTCAGTTCTTCCCTATCTATCAAGTAAGGGTTGGGCTGAGCTGGTGTAGCCCAGTGTGTCTGTCCCTGTGCTAAGGTTACTACTTCTGCTGGCACCCAAAGTGTTTGCTGTAGACCTAAACATGTTGAGTTCAGTCATCCAGTCCAGCAAGGGAGGTCATGTCCTATACAAACTTGATGTGCCTGATAACATAGCCTACCCCACTGGAAGGATCAAATGTTTCCAACACCACTAGAGGGTTCCTAGCATCCTGGTACTCCTGGATCCTGTCCCCTAACACTGTGAGATCCATAGAAAGTCGGGGGCACCTTGGGTAACACTGCCATAAAATTAGAGTTAGGGAGCACTTGCTGGGGTTCTATGGTGGCCTGAGCCATGAACCACCCCCAGAACATGCACTTTGAAGGGAAAAGGAAAAAGAATGGCAGGAGGCTGGAATTTCACAGGAACAGCCTAATTAGCCAGCTTCCTTGTCTGCCTCCACCCACATCAAGCTCAGCGTTTCCCAACATCTGCTGCTGTGTACCATTTGCCATGTGTTGGAGTGTAGCGTTTTGTGTTCATGCTGCTAGATAGGAGTACAGCCTCATGAGCAGGCCTTCTTGATGTCCTGTCTTCAGTTGCTTTGCAAGTTGGCTGTTCAATTGTTCAGTAGCTCCACTGGCCTGCAGATGACAGGGTGCACACAAAGCCCATCATATTCCATGAGAGGGTGGTCATTGTTTTGCTGCTCAGGTAGTGAAGGATGCTTCTTGGTGAGACTGAGGTCCTGTGGGGTATTCAAAAATCATGACATAGGTTCTCGTCAGTAACAGCAATGGTAGTATCAGCATCCACAAGAGTGAATATTGTTTGTCCTTTCCACGTAGCAAGCTGTTTTGACAGTCTTTGTCCCCACACAGAGGCTCTTTAAATAGTCTAGTCACTCAATTGTCATTCTTCTGGCAAGG